ACAATAATCATTAATGAAAATATGTTGATTATAAACTCTGTATACCATTCAAGTAAATTTCATTTGCTTAAATTTAACATTTAACATACTTATGTAACAAAATTACATAGAACATTTACATGTATTAAGTTACTGAAAGTAAGCATTTTGGCCATAGATACCTTTTGTGTACATTTAAATGGTCATATCACATTTCATATCTCTGTAAGGCTGATTATATTTCATTGGAATAAAGAAAGAAAAAAAAATATTGTTCATTTTATTTTGAAGAAATTGCTGCCCTGACTGTTACTTCTTTCTTTCTGGCAGATGGGGACGTGGTTTTGGTTTGGTCCAGTACTTTGTGGCCAAAGATAGTCCTCTAAACCAGCCCAACAGTGTTCTTGGCATCATATTTTACACTCTGCAGATGGGCCTTGGTTAGTCTGTGATTGTCTTCTTTAAATTACAGTGCATTGCTGAGAGCTTTTTATTCAGAATATCATTTGCAAGTCAATGTGTTTGTGATCCATGGCAAGCACAAGTATTTCAGGTATTTGAAGATTGCATAATATGTATATGGAGCAATACATTTACTCCACTCTGGACGTGAGACTGTGTGGAATTTCCCAATGATGTACTATGTTTGACTGAGGTCCTGATATCCTCTCTATTTGACTTTTTTATTTACAGGACTGTCTGTGTCTAAAAAAGCAGCAGCTTTTTTGGTCTTCTCCTCCTGGGTCTCTGTGGCCGGTTCACTCTATCTTGCATCTATTCTCGCATTTGTTCTGGGAGACTTCTGCATGGTCTGTGTCTCCACGTATATTGTCAACTTTGCATTGCTCTACACCAACCTGAAACGGAGGAGAGCAGTTCAGGAAATTAAGGAAAAAGCCAGATAGAAAGTGTTGCCTGTGAAATGTAACAAATGTTCCCTTCCTGCCTTCCTGAAACCCCGCTGGATTCATCTCACAGTATTTTGCCAGTGTTTACATGAGTTTACATTCAGTATTTTCACAGAAAAACAACTGGAGATTTAACTCTAATATCAGAATATCTATAAGTTGGTTCTCAATACAGAAACTTTGTTGTGCAGCAGCTACTTTTGTATATTGTTATTAACTTGTAATGATTAAAACACATTTTTGAATTCTGACTGTTGTTGTGATTGAATTCTGGGCTGTTATATGGTCAAATGTGTTAAAAGTGGCTATACAGGTCTCCACATTACATTTACTCAGTCCTACCAGCAGATGGAGATAAATGTCTATTTAATAGCAGTTCAAACAAACTTTATTGGAACGACTTTTCAAGTTACCCGTCCTCCCCAAGAAAGTCACCAGACCTACAAAAAACAAAAAAAAGGATGATAAAAAAATAAACAAATATATCTAATAAAGTGTGCATCATTAAATATGTACAGTTTTTAACTAATTTATTAGACCACATGTCATAAAAAAGAACAAGCAGTGGCAGCTCATTAGCTCGCCTTCAAAGTAAAAATCTGATTATTAAAATAAAATTTATTTCAACTGTGGTTCAAAAGGACAACGACAAAAACAGTTAATATGGTAAAATGTGTATTGCTATTTCATGGTGCAAACACCTCAATTTCTTACATTTAATGCTTTGTCTATTTCTTACTTATCTGAGAACTGATGAAAATCATAAGTAAGATGACAAGTTTGAACCGTTTGCGAAGGAATTGTACCGAGCCTTCGAAACAATCTGAAACAATCTCCACAGTGACATCTGCTGGCCAATGTGACTATCGCCACATCTTTTTAATGCTGCTCTGTGAAACAAATGAGGCAGACAAGCCCCGCAATTCCAACAAAAAGACTTATTATAACAGACTGTCAGTAATGGTGATGAGCACATCTTTTGGAGAAATCCAAATCCAACCAAGGCAAGAAAAACATTGAGACTGTTAAAGACAGCAGGCAGTAACCATAATAAACAGTGTGCTTCAACAAAATTATATTGACTATTGACATATTTTACTGAGCTCACCCACCAGTCTCCGTTTTTCTCGCCATGTCTATATGAGAGTAATCGCTGAATAAGATATGTACACATTATTTATATATCTATACAATATCTATCTAATTACACTTTTAATTCCAGTCTTTAAGTGATTAAATGGTGTATATTGGTCTTTAAAATTCACAGCAAAAATAGTAATGAAAGATGTGGTATTGTTTTCTTTTACACATGTGAGTGTAATAAATAGAAGAGGTAGTATCAAAAACATTAATTCAGTAATTACAAATTATTCTGGTTCATAAGAAAATAGAATCCTGGTGCTTCCCATGCATACTGAAAACACATTAATGCTCTCCTTTGCAGATTTCACATTTTTCAAAACAATCCCCTGGATTGGCCTCATTTACAGCCACCGATTGTGCAAGTTCCCCCACTTAAAATGATGACAGAGGTCAGTAATTTGCACCAGAGGTACACTTCAACTGTGAGAGACAGAATGTGAAAAAAAAATCCATGAATTCACATGGTAGGATTTGTAAAGAATTTATTCGTAAATCAGGGTGGAAAATAAGTATTTGGTCACCTCAAACAAGGAAAATCTCTGGCTCTCACAGACCTGTAACGTCTTCTGTAAGAAGCTTTTCTGTCCCCCACTCGTTACCTGTATGAATGGCACCTGTTTGAACTCATCATCTGTATAAAAGACACCTGTCCACAGCCTCAAACAGTCAGACTCCAAACTCCGCCATGGCCAAGACCAAAGAGCTTTCGAAGGACACCAGGAAAAGTATTGTAGACCTGCACCAGACTGGGAAGAGTGAATCTACAATAGGCAAGCAGCTTGGTGTGAAAAAATCAACTGTGGGAGCAATCATCAGAAAATGGAAGACATACAAGACCACTGATAATCTCCCTCGATCTGGGGCTCCACACAAGATCTCATCCCGTGGGGTCAAAATGATCATGAGAACGGTGAGCAAAGATCCCAGAACCACACGGGGGGACCTGGTGAATGACCTGCAGAGAGCTGGGACCAAAGTAACAAAGGTCACCATCAGTAACACACTACAACGGCAGGGAATCAAATCCCGCAGTGCCAGACGTGTTCCGCTGCTGAAGCCAGTGCATGTCCAGGCCCGTCTGAAGTTTGCCAGAGAGCACATGGATGATACAGCAGAGGATTGGGAGAATGTCATGTGGTCAGATGAAACCAAAGTAGAACTTTTTGGTATAAACTCAACTCGTCGTGTTTGGAGGAAGAAGAATACTGAGTTGCATCCCAAGAACACCATACCTACTGTGAAGCATGGGGGTGGAAACATCATGCTATGGGGCTGTTTTTCTGCCAAGGGGACAGGACGACTGATCCGTGTTGAGGACAGAATGAATGGGGCCATGTATCGTGAGATTTTGAGCCAAAACCTCCTTCCATCAGTGAGAACTTTGAAGATGAAACGAGGCTGGGTCTTCCAACATGACAATGATCCAAAACACACCGCCCGGGCAACAAAGAATGTGAGTGGCCTAGCCAGTCTCCAGACCTCAACCCCATAGAAAATCCTCCTTCCATCAGTGAGAACTTTGAAGATGAAACGAGGCTGGGTCTTCCAACATGACAATGATCCAAAACACACCGCCCGGGCAACAAAGGAGTGGCTCCATAAGAAGCATTTGAAAGTCCTGGAGTGGCCTAGCCAGTCTCCAGACCTCAACCCCATAGAAAATCTGTGGCGGGAGTTGAAAGTCCGTGTTGCTCGGCGACAGCCCCAAAACATCACTGCTCTCGAGAAGATCTGCATGGAGGAATGGGCCAAAATACCAGCTACTGTGTGTGCAAACCTGGTAAAGACCTATAGTAAACGTTTGACCTCTGTTATTGCCAACAAAGGTTATGTTACAAAGTATTGAGTTGTATTTTTGTTATTGACCAAATACTTATTTTCCACCCTGATTTACGAATAAATTCTTTACAAATCCTACCATGTGGATTCATGGATTTTTTTTTTCACATTCTGTCTCTCACAGTTGAAGTGTACCTCTGGTGCAAATTACTGACCTCTGTCATCATTTTAGGTGGGGGAACTTGCACAATCGGTGGCTGACTAAATACTTTTTTGCCCCACTGTAAGTATAGCAGACACAAGAATCCAGGCAGACACAAGAGCACAGACTTCTTGAACTTTCTGTAGCATAATCAATCAAAAGTAAAAGAAAATACAAATCTAAAAAATACAATCATTTTATGCTTCCTGGCTTCACTTTTTAATAACTTCGAGGGTATGAAAATCTGTTCAGTGTGGTAACGTTTGTAGAATTCAAATCACTGGCCCTCTAAACTGTCATTTGAATAATGTTGGTGTGTCATCCTAGACCGGGTTTCAGTCACATCAAATCAGCTGGTCAAGTCATTCTCTATGACTTAACTAACTTTGACTGTAATCAAAGCTTTCCATAACATGACTGTTGTCATTTTATTTCACCCAAAATTAGTCAGAATTTCCTGAGAAGGTAGCCTGGGATTCATCACCAGCAGACTAACTTGTAAACATGGTGAGATTATGTCAAATTTAAGTGATTTCTGTAGATATACCCTGACCAACATTACACTAACCTTATTATAAAAATATATCAGTTTATATGTTGTGTTATTTTTAGTAACAAATAAGTAATATTTTCCACTGCTGAAAACTTTTTGTTTTTATGTAGCTTCCGAAAAGATGGCAGTTCATGAATGACTGGACAGCTCAAACGAAATTACGCAATATTTCCTCATGAAAATTTCTCATTTCATTATTTCCTCTTTTTCTTAATCACCACAGTTTTCTTCCTGATAGTTTTCCAATTTAACACTAGTGACATATCTTGAACTCTTCACTTCCCTATACTTCTCTTTTGTAACAAATTTTGACCAGAGATAACTAAGTTTGACTTTAGCATGTTTTGTTTTGGCTCAAACAGTGGAGTGCGGTAAAAATATGAAGGTTACTGCTTTGCATTTTACTGCAGGTGAAAGAGTATACACGGCTTGTCCTTGTGGCATGTGCACAATAACTCTCCTATAAACCTCTTTCAGATTTTAATGACTGATTAGTTGCATGAACTACAAAAAGTAACGTTGTCTTCTAATTCTGTTTTCCCGACTACCTTGTTGGAAACAGTACAGGTTACAGTGAAAACAGTTCCAGTGTTGATGTCTTGATGTCACAAATGTGCTTACACATTGAGCTTACACAAGTAAAACAGGAGAAAGAAGATGAAAAAGTAAATTCTTGACACAGTTCTGGTGTGAAGACTCAAAACACACAATCACACAAAAGTGCAAATCGCTCTGATTAACACAAGGTCATTGCCGTGATGTAAAAAAGTGCTGATTATGTACATTTTTTCTCCAAATAGCACCATAAATGTTAGCTAATCCTGGCTATATTTAGTTATTTTCCTATTCTGGTTGAACTGGGCTTTCTTTGCATTTGCTGTGCACAGCAGACGTCCAGTGAACAAGTTAGAAGGATTTT